CTACATCTGGTGTGGGGTTATTTGAGGGAAAAGAATCTATGTACACCATGCTCTTTCATCCATTACTTTATTTCTCTAAGACAAAATTCTATCCATACAGCTTCAGCTCTGTTCTCACATACAGCTCCTCTCTGTATGTGAACTCCTATTCTTCGGACCTCATCTTTGTCCTCTGTTCCTTTGTCTTCCATCTTTGCTTCCTTGCTCCTTACCCTGGCTCTGAGAAACTGTGATTTCTCCTATCCTTGGCCATGCAGCTCTGTCTACCATCTACAGAAATTCTCCCTGTTCTCTTCTCTCTGGCCATGTGGCTCTGCCTGCCTCTTGAATTCAGCTCCAGTCCTTACTGCACATGGTTATGCAAAAAGCCCTACTGTCCTGAGTCAATAGCTCTGCAGTGCTACTAGGCCTGAAGGCAAGGGATGGTTTGAGCTTCATTTGCACAAGAAACAAAGCTATGCATCTATAGCCCACCTGTCTCCTAGGCCCTGCAGGGGTGTTAGTTACCTAGTGGATCATCAGCAGATCTGAGAACCTTAGCTGTTTGCCAATATGGCCTAGTATATGAGCTTACAAGAATTTCAGAGCAGAAGAGAGCTGTTATATATTAATAAGCTAAATAACACCAAATATTCCTTGATAAATGGCTTCCTCTTAAAGGACACCTTGGTCAGTCAAGGTATAGCTTATTATATACAGTTGAATCTCTATAATATATTATTGCAGCTTGCTGCACTGTACATTATGAAATGGTTCCTAATCTAGAACCACAAGCTTACTCTGCATTGACAGCAGTTCCTTCTTGTCCTGGCCTCTTCAGGCTAGCACTGGCCTTTGCTTGCTGGGCTTGAGACAGAGAACTAATCAGTTGAGAAAGCCAAGTCTTTTTACATTAATGATATGACTTTCTTCCATTTTCTAGCTTCAAACACTACAGCTACTGTTTCATTCTTTCAAACACAATTTAATTTACACTAAGATAAAGACCAATCATTCAATATTTTTCTGTTAAAGTCCAAAGGCATAAGCTAATGTTCACTGAACAATTAGATTCCATTATTGTCACCTCAGTCATGACACCTGACAGCTTAAGTAAACAGTCCTAGGGAATGACAATGCTTCTTATGGTATTGTTATTTTTTCTCAGTTCCTTGGTATTTTTCTCTGATCCTCAATGCTTGCCTTAGGTGACTTTACAGTTCCCGATGATTATAAAGCAGAGGTTAGCTTTCTGATGCAAGCATCAGTATAGAACACATGCGCATCACATACACACATATAATATGGAACACACACACACACACACACACACACACACACACACACACACACACACCACCCAGTTGAAACATGGTTCCAGTATAACTCACTGTAAATGAGAAGATGATATTAATTTCTGTGAGAGAAACCTAGCAAACAAAAGGAACTATGCTGAAACTCCTATTGTAAAGCAAGAATTCTTTCTAACAAGGAAACAAATGTAACTTAATTTATTACCTTACATATAAAACTAGATTTTCCATTTTTTGGTTAAAAACATATAGAATTTAAGTATATTAATGCTCACTAAAATCTTTCCAAAAAACATACAGAATAGAACAGCAGGAACACTCATTTGAAATTAAGCCAGAAAACCCCTGAGTATGATCCCTGGGACCCACGTGGTGAAAGGATTCTGAAGTTTACCTCAAGTTGTATTCTGACTCCCATGCACACATCATGGAGATGGGAAAGATTAATGGATAAAACAGTCTCTAATTTGTATAGAGCTTTAATAAAGAAAATTAAAAAATCACTCTACATAAGTTAAGAGTATCAAACAAAAAATTCCTAAATATATTTGACAGGCTAATCAACAGGGTAAAATATGAGAAAGTGTGTGCTTACAGAGGGAATATTTAAGAGACAGGAGTTTAAAAGACAGACTGGCAGAGACTATCAAGCAGGAAGGATAGGTATAGGGAATTGACATGGATGTAAAAATGAAGGTCATCTGGGTTAGATAGGTATAGCATAGAGGGAGAAATTAGCAGACCAGCTGTCATCCACACAGCAGATTTTGACTTCCATGTGTACCCACAACATTCATTCATGGAGCCTATATGTGCAGTCCTCTCTATTATTTACTTTTCTTGTCACTATGGTAGACACTGACAGAAGCAACTCAAGGGAGGAAGGCTTATTTTGGCTTGTGACTTCAGGGGATGCAATCCATCATGGTGATATGAAATGCCATTGTAGCTCTCTCCATGGGAGTGGGGGTTTCACAGGAGGAGATGGAGGCTCATTCACCTTGTGATTGGCCGAGAAGAAATTAATGATTGGAACCAGAAGTGAATACCACCTTCCAGGTTCACTCCTGTTCACGTTTGGCTAGCTAGACCACAGTCCTAAGGTTTTCACGACCTCCCAAAGCAATATCATCACCTGGAAACACATTCAAACACAAGAGCATGTAGAGTACATTAAACATGCAAAACATAACACTCTCTCACTCTACTGTTCACCTTGAAAACTTGAATGCAAGCTCTAAGAAATAAGAGTCTAACCTCTTTTATATACTGTTAATTTGTCAGCACCTAGAACAACACAGACAGGGATCACAAAAAATATTTCTTCAACATTTATAACATCACAATATTTAGTTAAACTTAGTTTTGGAACATTTTCTGACTTTCCAGATAACAAAGTTAAAAAGTTGAGTTGGAAGCACAATGGGCTGAAATCAAATAGACCTAGTTCAAGAGCTCTTTACAGTTATTGAATGAATAAATGACTTAAGTTTTCTGAATTTCCATTTTCTAGTAAGACAAAAAATGCTATCCAATTGTTGTTGGGTTCAGAGATGGTGGATATGTGCCTAGTGTTCAACTTGGCACACATTGATTACCCAGACTGTAACAGCCATTGACTAAGAGTAGGCAACCTCCCATTGTGCCTTCTACTTAAATCTCATGTTGTTCACATCTGAATTATAATACTAGGTACTGTGTATTAGATAATATCATGCCCAATCTTTTCGATGGAATGAACTGTCTGTTACCTATTTATTTACCATTTTTAGAAAATTCTACTCTTAAAATTAATTCAAAATGCTAAAACTTCTATTTGTATTAAACCAGAGTACTGTCTCTTAATATCAATGTTATAACTGCTGTATTTGTCTTAATGATATTTACATTCATGTTCATTTTTTTTATTCAGTTAGTTATATGATCTGTGCACAGAAGGGAAAGCTAGTTTGTATTTATACATTATTGGTGTTTACCAAACCATCTTAAGCATGAATGCTTATTATGTGCAGAACAAGAAATATGGAAACTGTAAACGTGTGTAATATTAAGAAAGTTGTTATTGAGAAGAATATACTGTCTTTCACATGATGTTATATTTAAGAACATTTCAAATATATATTAGGGACTGTTTCCTTAAGTAGTTATGATAAGGATTCTAAGGTAAAATATTAAATTAGGGAAGAAAGCTGAGCTATAACTTTTATGATATCAAAAGTAGTTACTATTGCCTTGCATTATAGAGTCTGACTTATGAGCTTTTTTTATACTCCTGATTTTAGAAACCAGTATCCATAGGACTTTGTTACTTAGTCCAGTTCACCCTCTGCATAGTACAGTATGCCGGACAGAGAAGCAGGTGAAATTAATTTGATTGCTAGAGATGTAGTGATCATGCTCTTCTGAGAATACCAGTCTGTTTAGACAGACAGAAATAATAAAGAAAGAATGCAGCCAGGGTGGATTTCAAATTATATTCTTAGATAATAGTGATACTATGGAAATTTTATTTTATCAAGGTATCATGTTGTAATGTGGAAATTTATCTAAAGGCAGTAAAAAACAAAATCCTGGTCATATAGAATAAACAAATTGCTATATTTTGCTTTCATTTTCTTTCCAGTTGGTTGCTATGACTTAACCACAGAACCAACGTGAATAATGGTGAATTTTGAAGAGTAACTTTGGGAATCATCAACCAGTAGCAACAGCAGACACATATACAGATGTGTGAATACACACATAAATAAAGTAAACCTTTTCTTTACCACCTGTGTCTAAAATTAGTAACATACTTAAAACTGGAATCCTTTATAAATATTGGGATAATATTCTTATAATATGCTTACAACTTTGTATTCCAAAATTTTCTTTTTATTTCCATTCTGATTTTCTTTTTTTAATTTTTATTAGCATTTACAGTTGTACAAAATTAATCAGCTGATTCTGAGATTTTCATGCGACATATAAATTCACTTTGCTCATATTTACTACCTATTTTCTCTTTTCACGAACTGTTCATTGGGGTTACTGAGAATAAAAGAATTTGATTAAGTACATTTTTTAGTGTAAAAAATAATTTTATAGCTTGCAATTAAAAACATAAATTAAGTAGTCTGCTAAAGAAAAAAAAAGTCCTATCAAGTGGAAACGATGTGCTCATAGTGATTTAACTAAAGTGGGTAACATTAGACCCCAAACAAACCGAGAAAGTGAAAAAATAATCAAACAAAATAATGCCAACCCAACCCCCCCAAAAACAGTATTAACAACGAAACAAACAAGCAGTGTAGTAATTGTCAGCTGAAATTACAGAGACATTTTAAGATTCGAACACTAAGACATCACAGCACCAGCACGCTGGGAAGTGGCTAAGCTGGCTAGCAAATCACCGCTATTAGATCCCATTCATGATGTAAATTCTGCTATTTTATCTCTTCATAACACGCAGTACTTTTTCAACCTCACATTTCCAGGCATTTCAGCTCCTGCTGACATAAGTGCTTTCCCAAAATAGAATGTCACAGCAATCTTCTGCTAGACATCTACGCCCATTTGTGCATGTATTTTTTAGGATGCTTTTTTTTTTTTTGAACCTCTTAACTGTGAGAGGGTCTGGAAGGTAGGGTTAGAATGAATGAGACCTTGTTTTCTGAAACGACACTAGACACTTTATCTACTCTTAAAAAATAAATCATGGTCTCCTACCTTAAAAACAAACATCTCCCGTCGAAGAATAGCTAGAGTGTTGAAGTTCCCATCACAGATGTTGGGCTTGGCTCCTGGATAGGAAGGTCTGCCAGTGGGAGGCCGGGGAGGTTTTGGCCTGTCATTTTTCCTTGGGTCAGCCGGAGGAACAGATCGGTGAGGGGGCACTGTCGGTAGAGGTCTTGTGGGTGGAGGGATCTTGTCAGGTGGACCTTTTGAAAACATGAGGACAGTGCTTGGCTCACTTAAAACTGGAATAGTGCTGGAAGATATGCTACAGAGAACAAGTGCTTATCAGCAGAGGGCACAGACTAAGCAAGCTAAGAGGTCGTTAAGATCGAATATTTTCTGAAAACACAAAGCCTCCAACCCTCCCAACGGCTGCCAAGGGTGTCTCGGACTGTCCTAATAAGGCTGGAGTTCAGCTCCTAGTACTATGATTTCTTTGTTATTTTTTACTGAGGTTTTTTTTATAGCTTCAACCCAGTGACTGTTGGAAAGTTGCTCTCAAAACCTGTTTGGAAGTAGGTTTTTCATGAAAAAACAGAAGTATGAGAATAAATACTGGACTCATAACTGTGCACTTCATTCAAGAGGAAACTGGACTTTGACAGATGTTGATCTCATGAAAATATTTCCAAAGATAAACACTAGCAAACCAAAGGTTATTCTAACATATGTCTCCAACTCTCCATTATAAGCCTTTACCGATTTCACTATTTTATTTTAATGAAATGTCCTGACAAGTAGCCCAGTGTTTCACTTAAATAGTGAATCTAAAGTGTCCATTGATTAACATACCACTGGTGAAATATTAATGTAAAGTATTTCTTAAAAAAGGCTTCCAAGTCGAGCCAAAGTTTACTCATGTAATTTGCAACAGATGTTAGCCATCATTCCTCAAGGGACTGATGCTCTTTCTCTTTAATAAATAGAGTTGTTCACACTTAAAATTTAGATATGGGATGGATATTCTTTCACAGCCCTTCAGTCTAGACTACAAATTCATGAGGTTATGAGAAAGAGACTTCTTTGAGCTAACCATGTATAAGGAATTTATGATGACATACACAGTCAATGGATCTCTCTCTCTCAATATCCAAGCTCTTTGGATTTGTGTCTGTGACATGTATCAGCACATCCAATCCAATTTCAAATTTACTTTAACCCTATGAGAATGATTATGACTTTACTATTAAAACTGAAAAACTAATAAATGAAAAACAAATTAGTGCACATGAATTACACTGTTTAAAATGCAAATCATACCTTCTGGATACAGACTTGACAGACTAATAGCACACACATATCTTTATAAAAATGAAAGGTTCATTTCCTTGATCTAGCAAAGCATACCTGCTATAGGTAAATAATGGACATCAAAATCTTAATAATATGTGAAATAAATGTCTTTACAAAGGTCACTGGTTGTACTGAGGAAGTTATGGTCACAGTAAATATGCATCATAGTTTTTCTCCATTTCTCTTAATTTGCATTTGCTGAATAAACCTTATTAGTAAAACAATACTACCAAACTAGAAATATAGTTTGAAATATTGGAAATGTAACCCATGCAATCCGTTGATAAAAACTTAGCCACTTATTTGCTTTCATGCCTTTCTTGTTGACTTTCATTCTGACCCAAAAATCATACCTTTGAGGTCAATACGTTCTTATATTGCATAACTTACTTTCTTGACCCTGAAAAGTGGTTTGTCTTAGAATTAACAAGAATTTTAAAGACTAAGTCCAGCTGTCAGTGGAGGAAACAGTTTCCTTATATTATGTCACAATTTGTACTTTTACCTATGTTTATGAAGTTATTATTTATTTTAATATACTACTACCTAAATTTTAAATGTGCACATTATTTTTATGAGTGTAAGTTTCCAGCAAACTCAACAAGAAAGCTCTATCAGTGATTAAGTCTTTCTGGTAATCTATATTTAAAGATTTGGGGGACAATTGCCAATACAACTTGACTGATGATAGAATATTGCCCATAGGACAGAACATTTTTCTTCCATTTTTCTCTGTCTTATATCTTAAAGACTCTACCTCAAAGGGAAAAAAATGTGCATGACTTCCAGTTGCCCCAAACAATTAGAAAAACAGGAACAGTGGAACCTACCATATATTTTCTGGATGCCCTGTAAATCATCATTAGGGAGCTTGAAGTTGTCTGTTTCCATGTACTGGTAAAATGGTGCCATGATAGCAGTGGGGTCATTGGAATGCTCCAGTCCTAGAGCATGCCCCAGTTCATGAACTGCTACAAGGAATAAATCATTTCCTGTCAAATGAGAAGAATAAAGGTTAAGATTATTGCAAATGATAGCCATGGAATTGAAAAAGGAAACAGTGTTATCAAAACATTAATCAAGAAAAATAAAAGGACCCCTTTACTGCAGTGGTCAACATGATTTTAACACTAGCTTTCCTACTGGCAAATATTTGCTTTAAAGGGTGATAGTGAGACAGATGCTTAGAGAGTAAAAGAAAGAAAGTTTTAAAAGATCAGCAATATCAAAACCCAGTATCAATGGTGTTAAAGTATCTTTCCAATCATAAGGTAAACTACATAACCTCTCATGTTATAACCACTACATTTAACACAAATTTTGCAATAGTAAAAAATACAGCAAATATAAAAACTCGACTTTTACAGATAAGAGTCCCAAAAGGCACAGAGAATTTGTTTTTCCAGAACAGCAGATCCTGCTGAAACACAGCACGATTTGGACTCATGTCATTGTGACTCCTATGTGAGTTCTATCATCTTATTAGCTAAGAGTACAGAAGCACTGTAACTTAAAATACCTATTTATTAGCTATCACAGTAATTATAGTTGTAGTACTAGCTTAATAAATGCCAATTCTAATCAACACATAGGTTATCTGAAGAAAATGCATTTACTTTGGAGCTTTGTTCTCCCACTGAAAATTCTCACCTACGTTAACTTGCATAATATAGTCTATATAATCTAAATTCAAGAGAAGTCTTGGGGTGATATTCAGATCATTCTTCTACTTTCTGCTACACCTCTTTCTTTCATTTTCTTCCTAAGTCCTTTGCATTTTCATCCTTCTTTAAAATTTTTATTTCAAGTTTAAAAGCAGATCTAACTATGTATGCCTCGGCCGACTTCCAACTTGTGGACTTCCTATCTCCATTTCTGAAGTGCTCAGATTCACACCCATAAGACTTAAGTTTCTAAGGATTTCAATTTCCAAGGGGAATCATTAAAGATATTGGAGAGGGAGTGCATCACTTTCCTTGGAGGACTTGCTACAAATGAAAATAATTTCAATAAACATTACTTTCAGGAAAAGCCCTTACCAACCATTTTACACAATATATTACAATTTAATGACCCCCCCTTTGAGATTTATATATTTTTTGACACAAAGTAGGAAAGCAACCAAAATTAGCTCCATTTGGAGTAGTCTGTCTCAGAAGAATGAAAGGGGTCATGTGGCCAATTCTCATGTGACATTGCCACACTGAAGATGAAGGAGCCACTGACATATTTTCAGCATCATTTTATTTCTTAAGAAAATTGACAAGAGACTGGTGTAAAAATTTCAAGGGGTTTTAAAACAGAGATGACAGGGGCTGGAGAGATGGCTCAGTGGTTAAGAGCACTGACTGCTCTTCCAGAGGACCTGGGTTCAATTTCCAGCACCCAAGTGGCAGCTCACAACTGTCTGTAATTCCAGTTGCAGGGGACCCAACATCCATGGCAAAACACCAATGCACGTAAAATAATGATAAATAAATTTAACAAAAAACAGATGACAACAAGCATTTTCAAATTTAAGAAACTTATCTCCTTTTCTTATAAAATTAACTAATAATGAAAATTAAGGCAGAAAGAAAAAATATGGTATGTATTAATTGTAATGGAAAAATATTATATATCATTACTAGAAGCTTACTTACTCTTCTGTAGAGGTTTCAATCAGTTTACCCTTACTTTCTTATTTAATTTTTGCAAAATTTATGTGATTTGGCCACTTATAATTATTATTTCCATTTTAGTAAATCAGAAAAGGGGGCTGATGATAGTTTATAAAACTTTCAGTGTCATACAGTAAAGCATAATAAGCATTCAGATATCTCTCAGGCCACCTGCTGAGTGCTTACTTTTAATCACTAAAGTAAACCACATGCACACCACCATATTAGCATTCACAAACTTTACAGTGTGAAAGCAACCTCATTCATAAAGTGATTAATTTATCCCACAATGGCTTAGCTATATCTCCTGTGTTTTAGGTTCTTTGGTAGGTTTTGACAAAAATACTGAACAAAATAGAAAACAGACCAAAAAACATTTACTTTGCAGCATTTATATTGTAGTGGAAAAGACTAGATAGAAACAAGGTAAACAAGGTAAGAATAGAGTACATGAATAACATGGAAAATATCAAAGCACAAAAATGATGAGGTCAAAGAGAAAATCAGAGCTAGAGCAGGCATGGCATTTTAGATAACAATAATGAGTTGGCTGCTAGTCTAAAGAAGATGGTACGGAAAGTTTCCAGGGAGACAAAGAGCACAATCTCATTTCAATTTGATAGAGTCACTCTGGGAATTACTCTATAGCATCAACTGCAAGACAGAAGAGACAGTGTGGGAGCTGTTGCATAGTAATTACCTCTAAGAAGCATTTCATCTTTGAGGGAAGCTCTTGAAGATTTAGACTCTTCTAAAGCAAGGTGAAACATCCACCTTGCAAGCAATTTCATTAAAATTCAGGAATTCAACAACTCAATAGCTTCAGGAAATCCCTGACCAGATTCATTAGCCCTTTCTTTACCCAAACTTATATAGTAGTGAGGATTGCTAAGAGATACCTAGACTAGGAGAACTACCTTGAAAATGCTCAGACCAGTCAAGATACCTAGAAAAGTCAGAGCAGTCAAGCTGCCTAGAAAAGGTTCTGACCAACTGAGCTGCCTGAAAGAGACACCTTCCAATCTATCAAGTTGCCTGCAAGTTCTGCAGTGAGTTCTTGGTTTATAGGTACCAAGAGTCATCATCTGTGCTGGAATGCGCTTTTGTTGATGTGACTGTATTTAAGTTATTTCTTCTTTCCTAAGTAACTTCCTCCAAATCACTGGTTCATCAAGCTGGACTTTGGAGATATCGTTGTTTTGGTCTGTCATTGATTTTGATTCCCTATCTGGGATGAGTATCTTTTTGTTCATGTCTCCCCAGGGTCCATTCACACAACAGAGAGTGATGTGGAGATGAAAATAGAAAGAAAAGAGGATGGCACATACCACGATTCTAGTACTTCTAATTAGAGGAACATGGAGGAGAAAACAGACATTGTAATCAAAGAAATATGGAGAATAAAACAGTTTTAAAGAATGCAAAAGAAAGCATAGTCAAAGTTAACTCTATTATCTGTTGTCAAAAAGAACACAAGGACAATGTTGATTAGCAAGGGAATATTAATGAGGATTTATTTGTAACTTCTTTGGTACAAAAATCAGGAAAGAGGAAAGGGGGAGAGGAAGGGAGGGAGATAGAGACATAGATAGATAGGTAAGTAGGTAGATAGATTGATAGATGATAGATAGATGATAGATGATTGATAGATGATAGATAGATAGATTTGTGTGTGTGTGTGTGTGTGTGTGTGAGAGAGAGAGAGAGAGAGAGAGAGAGAGAGAGAGAGAGAGAGAGAGAGAGAGAGAGAGAGGAGAGAAAATGGGGATTCTCAAGTTATACAGTCAGAGGACAGGGAGTAAAGAGTGCCCCAAGTTTTTAACCACCACAGGAGTGCACAGATGTGAGAGGTTTAGATAAGTAGACTCTATTTAAATATAGAGTTTATAGTCAGCTTAAAGTAAGTTAAAGAAAAGCTGAAGAACTTGACCCATGACAATGACAAAGAATTAATGGAGGAGATGGAGAGAGAGAACCATGGACGGTGGCAGAAATGATAACTTCTCATATCTGCTTTTATGTAAGTTTCTATCATTTCCCCATTGTCTACCAGTAAATCCCATATCCTTGGAGACATAGCCAGGAATGTTGGCACACAAGTCTTTGTCCTGCCATTCCAAAAGTATCTCTTCTTTCCTTCTACAAACTTTTTCAAGTTAGAGAAATAAAAGCTTGTTCTGTCTATAGGGTCTCTATTAAACTATTTCCTTTCTGGAATGTCCTTTCACCTGTAAGGTGTTGGATCTTCATTTCTTCAGAACTTCTGTCCATCACAGATTAAATTTTCCTTTTCTATGAAGATTTTCTTTCAGGTCAGATAGCCTTATGGTCTGTTGCCCCCTTCATACTACCCCAGCCCTGCTACAACCCTCCACCTACACCATGACAGTGCTATTTTATTGTCACTGTCTGTTCACATATTTTTCTGCACATTTTGAGTAAAAACTGATATTGAGCATCACTTATCTTAGTTTCTATAATTCTGAAGGCGTTGGCTGCCCCAAAGCAGATATTTAATATTTCAATGAGTTTGAATAAACAGAATAATACCTGGTGAGTAGAAAGCTAATTTGAAATTGAGTATTAAAAATAAGAATACAAATTCCATCTAAACATGCTTTCAAATGCTCCTCTAGATATCCTGCAAAGAACTGGAAGAGAACAATAATGCTATGAGAAAAGGGCAGGAAGGCCATTGCTCAGAGGAAGCTTTAGACAGTAGAATAAGTGTACGTATCACTTCCTGTTCCTCGATTAATAGCAGTAAAGGCTTATGTTTCCAGATAACACACAAGAGACAAGAAATAAAAGAAAACTATATGTAATGAAGAACAGGTTTCATTTCTTTATAGAAGTTATAATGATTACAGGGAACAAAGAATGAGAGAAGAGTGTTGTCTGTGTGGTGAGGAGAGAAACGTTTTAAAAGCAGAAGCTGTGTAGAGTAGGAAAGTATTGTAACATGGCTTTGGGGGTTATTATAGTCAGAGAAGCAGAGACAAAAACAGAAAGAAGGAGTGTCATTCCTGAAGAGGCATGGGAGTGTGTCTGCAGGTATACAATTTAGAGAGACTCCTAAGGATTATGCCATCAATAATTATTTACAAGCAAGAGGAAGGCTTTGAAGAAAAAAAACCACATCATTTTTAGACAGAAAACATCTGATTCCAACTGTAAACACCTTCACAAAACCTGAAAACAATGAGTTTGGTTCTCCAAATAACAAGTGGTACTAGACAGAAGTAGAAGTGGTAGACCAGCTTCCATGCATACTGAACCAGTAAAACTAGAGGGATTTTGGCTTGAAAGATCTATCAGTGGGCTGAAAGTCA